TTTGAACTGGAAGTTCCAGTAGTTGGGGTTTAGCTTTAGCTGATCTTTGGAACTCTGTTGGTGGCTATTTCGAATTTGATCCATGTCCTCCATTGCTGGAGAGATGCTGGTTTCTAATGGATCTCTGAAAGCCAGAGACCTCCAGTAAAATCCAGTTTTAGGGCATAAGGACTAACTCTCCAGAGGCTTCACATTTACCTCCATGGATGTGAATTGCCCGGTACCCACCCTGGAGTGCAGCCTTTCCTGTGTGGCTGCTATAGGCATCTTCCCAATAGTTCTGATGGGCTGTCAGCAGCAAAGGGAACTCTCTTCCCTTGGTATCTGGAATGTGTATTCTCCAGGCACAATTTTCCATGTGCCTATTTCAGTCACTCTGGTTCAGGCACACTCTGGGAATCACAAATAGGCAACTGCTGGGTGCACCTGCAACTTCCTTTATGAGTTCCCGATTTCCTGACTTTGCTCATTGCTGTGCTGCAGTTATAAATAGTTCCTGTCAGACCGTCTGCTGTGGGCTGAGTGATTTCAGTTGATTTTCACTGAACCACTTGTCCCACCAGCTCTGGGTCCGTTAAGATCAACATGTGTCTCTATGCAACAGGTTCCTCCCCGCCAAGCCAATATTTTAAATTCCATCAGCTTTTCTGTCTCTCTGCCTGTGGTCCCCTCCCCTCAGCAGCTGAGGCTCCCCCAGGTGCCAGTCAAGCTGGTGCATCTCTGATGCATCATTTCTTTTATAGTCAAAGTTTCTGACTTTCTGTGTCTCTGTGGTTTCTTTTACCATCCAGGACTGGATCTCAGTGAATTCCCTTAGTGAGCCACCTCACTGATAGCACGGTTTCTGCGGTTTAAGTCTGGTGCTGAGCATTCTGGGAAGCGTATCCTTCCTCTAATCCACCATCTAGATTGTATTTCTAGACCTTAGTTGTTTACTTTCTTCTGGGACACGAAGCACATCTGTTTACTTTGGGGGCATGCTGATCAGAATCTTTGAAAGTCATGCTTATCTTAGTAGAAAGAGAAAAATCAGTTAGAAATCAGGTAGCAAAGAGAGTCTACCTGATGTTCAACATTCTCAAAGGTGGGGACAGGAGGGAACTACTGGTCCATTCTGTCAGAAGGTCCAAGTCTTTTCCTGAGTCTCCCCATGGCTGACTTCATCTCCTGGTTCCTCAGGGTATAGATCAAGGGGTTCAGCAGAGGGGAGATGACAGTGAAGGTGACAGAGATGGCCTTATCTGTGGGGAGGGCGGTGAAGGGCCGGGCATAGACATAGATGCAGGGCACAAAGTGCAGGGTCACCACAGTGATGTGGGAGGTGCAGGTGGAGATGGCTTTCCTCCTGCCCTCTCCTGATTGAGACCTTATTAATGATAATATGACCAAATAGGACACCAGGAGCAAGAAAAACCACAGTGTGGTGAGCATCCCATTGTTGGAAATCATGAGCAGTTCAAGTACAAAAATGTCAGTACAGGCGAGTTTGAGGACCTGGGGGACGTCACAGTAGAAAGTGTCAAGGACATTGGGTCCACAGAAGGGCAGTGGGAGCAAGAGGGCGATCTGCACAATGGAGTGGGCGAAGCCCCCCAGCCAGGAGCCCACTATTAACCCTATGCATCGGCTTCTGTTCATGATGGTCACGTAGTGCAGGGGCTTGGAGATGGCCACATATCGATCTAGAGCCATCACTGACAGAGAAAATACATCCACCCCCCCAATAAGGTGGAAGAAGAACATCTGAGTGAGGCAGCCATTGAAGGAGATGGTCCTCTTGTCAGAGAGAAGGTCCACCAGCACCTTGGGAGCTGTGATGGAGGAAAAGCAGATGTCGGCAATCGACAAATTACGGAGCAAAAAATACATGGGGGTGTGGAGGCGTGACTCCCAGGTCACAGTGACCATGATGAGAAGGTTTCCCACCAGAGTCGTCAGGTACACCAGAAGTAGGAAAAGAAACAAGACAAAGCTCACGTCTTGATTCTGGGAGAGGCCAAGGAAAACAAATTCTTTTACCCTGGTGCAGTTCTCCATCTCTATGGAGTCATCCTCCTTTTGCTCTTTGGTTCCAAGGTGTGTCGTATGAAGAAAGGGCTATTTATTTTGCTGTCCTCTCAAGCTGCCCTGCATGGCTGCAGTGCATGCAATCTGTTAAGCTTTCCATATTTTAAACATTGCAATCAGATTGTTGAGCAAATCACATTTCACACACAGTACCATTCATTCCTTTTCCTAAAGAACTATTTTGGGAAAGCAAGCCTGTTAAGTAGTGACATTTACATAGCACATGTAAAACATGAAATCACCAAGGTTGAAATTGATGCTTTGGGTACCAGCTTCCAATATCGTAAAACTTTTCTGTGTTTATTCTGTGTTTAATAAAAAGACAATGCATGATAAAAAGGGAGATATGTCTTTTTTAGAGAAGTAAAGGGAGATTTGGATAGCCAAGGAGAGAGGGTAGATGATAAAATCGTTTTTAGCAATAATAAAAGCTACTATTTTCTGAGTGCTTTGTATGCCAATGTGGCACAGAATGTTGATGTCTTTAATTCTTACCTTCACCCACTCGGTCAGAAATAGTGTTATTCTTGTTTTTCATGACATATCAGGGATATCTTTTGGATTCAAGGAAGGATGTAGAAAATGGAAGAAAAGAAAGAGGATGGAAGGCAATGCTGTCTTCCTCCACATTTCCCCACTTCAATCCACGTAGGTTAAGATCTCACATTGCAAGGACATTTGAAAGAGTCTATCTGAAGAAAAGCACTTGGCAGAAACCCTTCTTCCATTAAATTAGTCTGAGGAAGC